GTTACACTTAGCTCCGATATTTTTTTTTGGGGGGGGGGGGAAGCTGGGCATTTTGGGGGGGAAGCTTCTACCCCTCAAATATCCTAGATGGAACCCTGCTCACTACAAAGGTAGCAAACGCCGAAATCTTTGCTCTGGGCCCCCACCTGCGTAAACGCCAGGGTTTGAGTAAGCGCCATTATTGGCCTGTTAAATAAGCCACTGTCAGGACACTGTCGATTTGCCAGTCAGGTTGAAAGGAAATTGGAAACGCAATTCCAGTAATTCGGCGAGTCCGTTGCGGGCCAAGAACAAGGATTTCCGTGCCCTGCTTCGCAGACGTTACTAACCGGTATTAAATTAGGTCTGCGACACAGGCTACTACAAAGTTTATTTACAAGAACGCTTGCTAGGGGAATATTAAGAGCAAGAGAAGTTTTACGTGATAAAGTGAGTACGGCAAAGACAATGATTCACTGTGTGAAGCAACAGTACTGGAATAAACAAAAAATATCAAGTCCAAATTTTAAACGGCAACTGACTGTTGTTCCAGGATCAAGACGGACAGTGGTTAGCTTACATCAGTTGTCCATCAAGAACCCGCGTAACCATAAGGACGCGCCAGTGACCATATTTTCAACGTTAAAACAAGCACATCAAAAATAGTATTTTAAGTTTAAGTACAAAGTACTAGTTTTTAGTTCTTTTCGAAAAAGCAATAAATCTATACGCTAATTTTGAATAGAGGAAATCAGTTCTTTCCGTAAAATGACAGGAGACTTTTGCGATTCTAAACATTCCTGGTTTTAAATCTCTAAACTGAAGGGTTGGATTATACTGTGAAAGCTCATTTCCTTCTTTCCTTGGGGTTTCAACAAAGGGAATAAAAAATAAAGCTCTTTTCACGGCCCGTAAAAGGCCTCTTAAATAAAAAAGCAAAGAAACTTTCCACAGTCTCACACAGTCTTCATTGGCACTAAAAAATAGCAGGTATTTCATAGCCCCTATCCTTGTTTAAGGTGGCTACTGACGTCTGATGTAGATTGCCTCTTTGATTTTCCTTTTAATGTCCACTGCCTCGATCCTTGTCAAGGATTTTGAGCCCCTCTCAGTTGATCACATGGTTGGCCTTGGTCCGGTGTTTTCAGAGGGCGGACCTAGTCTCTTCCCCAGGCCCCTAGCTGTCTCCCCAGTGCTCCACAGCTGTTGCATGTTATGTCGTATACCAGGCCAGTTTTTCTTTCTGAAGGAAAGCTTGCCTTTAGGATGTTCAAAAAGGAACTTTAGGGTGTTATAAAGGTCTGTGGGCATGGCGCGAGTTGATACCGTGGAGTGACCTGGTGGTAAGAATGAACGCAATTAAAGTATTTACAACGTTTGTAAACTGAGACTTGAATCTAATCTAACATGTAGTCGCAAGGGTTTTATCCATCAAAAGGCTCAGGTGTTACTGGTGACAAAAACAACGTATTTAATTCTAATGGTTAAAAATACTCTGAACATTAGAGTGAAATTCTGTGAAAAATATACTGCCAATGACTTGCATAGAAATATAGCTAATAGAACTTTTGAACTAAAAGAAAATGACATTGAATGTCCTATTTACATGTTGGAAAGTAATAATCACTATCAGTCTATAGAAAGAACTCTTGGGAACGTTGTTTATGAAATGATCAAATGGTTAACAACTCTCGTTTTCCCACAGTAAATTGTAGGAATTGATAGAAATTCAGATTGTTTATTCATATTTAATATACGGTGTACTATCTTTTCTCTGGAAAGGTATATATTTATAGAAAGTCTATAGAAAACATTAGAAATAAGCAACCAAAAAAGTAAGAAACCGGCGGAAAAAAAAATTAACTGAGTTGGACTAGAACCCGGCGTCTTCTGCTCAACGGGACTATACCTAACCACCACACCACAAAGGCCAATTACGTAACCTTGGGGAAAAGTCTTCTATTTAATACCTTTTCCATGGAACTTCGGCCGGCAAGCGCCGTTTTTATTGAGCCGCATTAACCGAGCTAGTGACAGTAAAAAAAAAAAACAAAAAAAAAACAATGTAAATCTACCTGGAGTTATGAAAGCAGAGTTAGTAAACATTTTGTAATTTTTCTCAACTTCCCCTTCCCCCTTTTCTTGTCTTGTGGTTAGGGATTTGTGTAGAAGTGGATGTAGACAGAATTACTTTCTTACCCCCCACCCCCTACCTCCCTCCCTCCCTAGTTTGTTTTATCCCTACCCACAATTCTCTCTTTAACACAAGTGACAGTTATTTGAAATCAGCGCGCGCCTTAAGCTAGTTTCGGTGCCGTATAGCAGTTTACTTTTAGATATTGGTCACCTTGAGAAACGTTTCCCGGAGAGGATCAGTAAAGCTCTGAGATTGGACAACGTTGTTACGATTCGCAAGGTCTGCATTGTCCAATATCGCATTATATTCTCCTTTCATTTCGCTAAACGGATCAATCACCCTGATCCGGGCTGAGACAGAAAGATGCGATATTGTTCGCTTTTCTAAGGTGACCACTAAGTCTTTGGCCTCGGGAACAGATCTTAGGGGTCAAATGAATTAGGTGAGAGCTAATTTGCAGGTGAACTTTGACCCGGGCCAAGACCGCCGACCGTGTGACTCTACATCTGGGAACTTGAATAAGACAAGTGTAAGGGAAAAGTCCAGAGGTGTTTCTCTGCCGATAGGCTGAGTGTTTCCGAGTTATTCGATGATATTTCGCTTATGTTAAACGTGAGAAGATTATGCGTGGTTGTGGATAGTCTTATCAGTGCTGCAAAAGTGCGTGGTTGTATGATTTCCGTATAGTGTTGACAGGAATGTGATCGCGTGGTTAAACTACTGTGGTTTCGCTAAAGTTTTCTGTGCGAGCCATTAATATTGTTTCGTCGGTGTTTAGCTTAGCTGATTGTATCTTAGAAAAGCATCTCTCGGCTCAGGAAAATTGGTCTAGTTTCAGCGAGCTCTGACGGCATTGAACCATAGGCCGGTTTTTGCAGATAAGAAGGTGATAATTTGAGCACTATCTTTCATTCAGTTTGTTGTCTATTCCATGGGAAATCCTGTTGCTTATCGGACCGCGAAAAAAGTAGTGTTTTGCTAACTATTTAAGTTGTTATGTAAGCCTTAACCAGGCACTCTTTCGCTGCAGTTCACTCAACTTAAAAATTTCTAGACTGAAATGACACCGGTTTGAAACTTTGCGAAGTCAGATTACTGAATAAATGTTCTAAAATTTGCGCCATTTTAAATTTGCACACGTTGGAATGCATCTAGGGGCCATTAACGTACTGCCTGGCGTCAGATAAAGGCTTTTAGTCGGCCTTTGAATGAGTTTTTCTTGTTTTAAATTGCCAAGAAGTAGAATGAGTTGATATTTTTGCTGACCCGGTTTTCAAAAATCCAGGTATAAATACATTCCATGGCAATTAATCGATGAAAGCCGGAACATGATTATACTTTACAAACGCCGATACACGTCCTCGTCTGCAAAGTAGAACGCAAAACATATGTTTTGTTATCTCGATTTCCGCTGTTATTTTGAAACTAATGGTCAAAATCTCATCCATTTTCGGCTCATACAGGTTCTTAAGAATAGCATAGCATGACATTTTCTCACTTACACATCACCCCCTATAGCAAGGTGGAATTTGTATACCTCCGTGTTGCGGAGTCGAAGAACAAATGCTCATCTCCTCGTCAAGTTTTAACTCCTGGACGAGTCAAAGGCTCTTGAAATCCAATCCCCAAGTTAACCATCGTACTCATCTGAAAGACTCCTGGGTGTCTTAAATTTGGTAAGACCTCTAACCGTGAGTCTGAGCAGCGAACGATGCCGACGCTCTCAGCGAAGAATTTTACCGAACTTCCTTGTGTTTTTATTTGAGTTGTTCGTGGCGCAATGCACTCTGGTTAAATGCAATGCATTCTGGTAAAAAGTGATGGATTCGAGAATTCGTCCCACCTTATATATTTCTCTTAAATCCTGATTATGTTGCTGCTCGCTCGCTCCGCTCTCTCCGCGGCAAAAATCTAACGGCTCACCCTTGGCCCAGTTTAAATGCAATTAGTTATATCTCAAACCCATATTATAGACAAAGACTATGTGGATTTATTTCTAGTCGCCAGTGGTTTTTTAAAGTAATGCTTCCAAAAATACCTCTCAAGTTAAAAGACGAGGCACAGCTTATATATATATGCAGTATATAACACTTTTTCCTTTCAAATTAAAAAAAAACGGAAATGAAAGACCCAATGAGAAATGCGAACTATAAACCTGCGATTTTGTTAGCCTAATGTGTTACGGATTTCGGAGTTAATGATGTGTAAAGTAAAATTAATTTCAAAAATTAACAAAAGTATTTTAAGTGTTAAGGAACAGTCAACTCTCTCATAGCGACCACTTCTCGTAAGCGAACACCTCCCGTAAGTGACCACTTTGCAAATAACCATTTTGCTTCTCAGTCAAACACTGTTTCAAAAACTCTCTCGTAAGCGACCACTACGTAAATTTCTTAAACGACCGCGACCACTTTTTGGGCCAGAAATTTGACATATTCTTTTGTTTCCTGCTTCCGGTAAGGGACCACCGGGCATGGCCACGTATGATTGTAACAAAACGGTTGCTCGAATGTCACAAAAGTTCATTTTTGAATAGTGCTGACCAAGTAAGCTGACAGATTATAGCAGTTGACTTATAAAAAAGATGTCTGTAATACAATCTGTAGGTAAAAAAGTGGATTGTCACATTCATGCATAATGTTACATACAAAGTTTCATCAGTTCCCAGCGCTATTCGAGTTAAACATTATTAGCCTCATTTTTACTTGCCAGATTATAAACTTATGTAATTATGTTAATCAGTTCAGTTTGAGCTTATTTTCTTGAGTTTTCCCGTAGACGACCACCTCCCGTAAGCGAGCATTTTGTCGTGCACCAAGGGTGGTCGCTTACGAGAGAGTTGATTGTATTTTCGAAAACAGAGTTACCTATACTTTCAGGAAATTTATTCGTATCCAGACAATTCTAATGTGACGTCATCACCAATGAGCACAAACGGTGCCCAGTACTTGACTGCACCAAACTCCTCAGATTCTCTCATGCAGTTCATTGCTAGATTTAAGGATTCACTCGCACTTTTTCCTTTCACAAGATGCTGATAGAAATTTTTCATGAACTCAAGAGTGGCCTTGTCATCAATCGCCCACAACGAGACAAGAACAGAACGAGCACCGGCACCTAAAAATGCTCGTGCTATGCCAACTACACCCTCTGCTTTGATCTCTCCATGAGCACTATAACAGCAACTGAGTACAATTAGTCTTGCACGAATCTGAACACGCTTTACATCTTTCATCGTCAAAATGAAATCCATCTCACCAATATCTGGCGCTAAGGCAATTTCACCCGTTTCCATGCAGCCATGTGCAGCGATGTGCACCAAAACAACCGAACCGAGTCGTCTTAACACCGCATCCTTTGTGGCTTGTCTTCCAATAAGAGGCGTACAGCCGAGCATTCTACCAATCATCTCTACTTCCTCTCTAGCATAAGGCAACTGCTCTAGTTCTGTCACTTCTTGCACCCATGGATCGCCAACAAGAAGTACACCAGACTTTAAGTGGTAATCTAAAGGACAATCTGCAATCATCTTCAAGCTGGTTAGAGATGGAGCCACGCGAATTTTGAATGATTCACAGAGATATTCGGAGTTTAGATCCATAAAAGCAGCAAAGGGAGCCAAACAGAGTGGGCCTTCAGGCACGAATATAAGTTCATTTCCCGTGAACAGATCTTTAATAGGATCAATGATGATGTCGTATAGTGTATTTAAGGCACTTTCGGAAAAAGTTGAGGGTTGGGTTTGTCTGATATCACGATTTGATCTTTTAACCGCCATTCGATTCTCCTTCACCAATTTAAACGACCAATATTTACGCTCCACGACATCTTTAACACCAATTTCGTCACTCATATCATCGACAAGAGAATGTAAATAAGCGCTAGTGTCATACTGGGAACTGATTTCCTTTCTTCTCAATTCGACGTCTTTCCCGTTCTGACAAACCCAAAAAACCAATTCGCTCATTCCAATTGCCATAAATATAGTATTCGGAGGAAAGGATCTGTGATCTTCCCTTGATTCAATCTCATTCACTTCAAATCCATACTTAAAAACCATAAGATCTCTTAGACCCTGTGCCCGGCCCTTCTCCGCAGAATCCAAAGCCTCCCTAAACTTGCCTTCTTTTAGCATCAAGCGCCAAAGAGTAGCATATGTTTTCTGATGTAGATCTCGAAAGCCTATTTTCAACTTGTCGTCAAATTGAAGACGATCTCTGATTTTGTTTAACAAAGTAACACTTCTCTGGCAATATCCCTTCGCCTCTGGAACTTGGCCTAGATATTCATAATAGCTACTAAAATTCGAGCATGCTATCGCCTCTCCTAATGTGTCACCCAATTCTTTCGTAATTTTTAGTTGACGTTGATAATGATATATGGTTGGTTTCAAAACTCCTAGACTTTGAAAGGAGCATCCAAGACTTCCATGCGCCTTTCCCTCTCCCGATCTGTCACCCAATTGTTTCGAAATTTTTAGATAAAGTTTAAAGAGGTCAATGGCTTTGTGAAAATCACCCAGATTATGATGGGCTATGCCAAGATTGTTATACGCCTCTCCTTCTCCCAATCTGTCACCCAATTCTTTCGCAATTTTCAGATCACGTTCATGGCAGTCTATGGCTTTTTTAAAATCTCCCAATCTGTCATAGGCGCATCCAAGATTGGCATTCGCTTTTGCTTCACCCGATCTGTCACCTAATTCTCTCGCAATTTTTAGATTACGTTCATGGCAGTGTAAAGCTGTCCTTAAATCTCCTAGATTGTGATAAGCGTTGCCAAGATTGCCATACGCCTTTCCTTCTCCGCATCTGTCTCCAGAGTTTTCAGCAATTTCTAGATGTCGCTCATGGTAGTCTATGGCTGTTTTAAAATCTCCCATACTGTGATGGGCGTTGCCACGATTGCAATACGCCGCTCCTTTTCCCGACGTTTCATCCAGTTCTTCCGCAATTTTTAGATTACGTTCATGGTAGTCTATAGCTGTTTTAAAATTTCCCAGATTGTAATAGGCGATTCCAAGATTTCCATAGGCCTTTCCTTCTCCCGATCTGTCGCCCAACTCTTTTGCAATTTTTAGATGTCGTTTATGGTAGTCTATGGCTGTTTGAAAATCTCCTATATTGCGATGGGTAATGCCCAGATTTCCATACGCCTTTCCTTCTCCCGATGTGTCACCCAATTCTTTCGCAATTTTTAGATGTCGTTCATGGTAGTCTATGGCTGTTTTAAAATCTCCCATACTGTGATGGGCGTTGCCAAGATTGCAATACGCCGCTCCTTTTTCTGACGTTTCATCCAATTCTTCCGCAATTCTAAGATAACGTTTATGGTAGTCTATAGCTGTTTTAAAATTTCCCAGATTGTAATAGGCGTTGCCAAGATGGCAATACACCGTTCTTTTTCCCAACGTATCATCCAATCTTTCAGCAGCTTTTAGAAAACGTTCATGGTAGTCTATAGCTGGCTTAAAATCTCCCAGCTTGTAATAGACGTTGCCAAGATTTCCATAAGCCTTTCCTTCTCCCAACCTGTCGCCCAATTCTTTTGCAATTTTTAGATGTCGTTCATGGTAGTCAATGGCTGTTTTAAAATCCCCTATACTGTGATGGGCGTTGCCAAGAACGCAATACGCCGCTCCTTTTCCCGACGTTTCATCCAGTTCTTCCGCAATTTTTAGATTACGTTCATGGTAGTCTATAGCTGTTTTAAAATTTCCCAGATTGTAATATGCGTTTCCAAGATTTCCATACGCCTTTCGTTCTCCAGATCTGTCGCCCAACTCCTCCGCAATTTTTAGATAACGTTCATCGTAGTCTATGGCTGTTTTAAAATCTCCCAGACTGTAATAGGCGCTGCCAAGATAGCAATACGCCTTTCCTTCTCCCGATCTGTCGCCCAATTCTTTTGCAATTTTTAGATAACGTTCATGGTATTTTATAGCTGTTTTAAAATCTCCCAGATTGTAATAGGCGTTGCCAAGATTGCAATACGCCACTCCTTTTTCCGACGTTTCATCCAATTCTTGTGCAATTTTTAGATGTCGTTCGTGGCAGTCTATGGCGGTTTTAAAATCTCCCATACTGTGATGGGCGTTGCCAAGATTGCAATACGCCGCTCCTTCTTCCGATCTGTTTCCCAACTGCTTCACAGTTTTTAGGTAACGTTCATAAAGGTCTACGGCTTTTTCAAAATCTCTTAAACTGTGATATGCGCTGTCAAGATCATTGACATACGCCTTTCCTTCTTCCGACCTGTTCTCAAAGTTGTCAATTTTACCAAAAGTGCTAAGGTCGCCTGCTGTATATGTCGCCTTCGTCCAATTTTTCTATGAAAAAAGAATTCCGTACAATTTATGACATTATGTGTTACATTATTTTTTCGTCATCTGAAAATAAAAGCATGCCTTTAATTTCTCACTTTATTCGATAAAGAGGGGTGAAGCGTCCCAGAAAGTATAGTCTCGAAATTTAGCATTGAAAGAAGAAATACAACAGACATTTGGCGAAACTGAAGAGCATTTAGGACAATTCAAAATATGGTTTATTTTCTGTAGGTGTTGTAATTGGACTTATCATAGTCTAAAACATGTAGTGAATTGATCATTGTCATTGATTCCAACCTCAGGACTTGATGCTACAGTAAACAAAGGCGAATAGCGCTATTAGCTGAAAAATTTGACAGCAATCAAGGTCACAAATAACTCCTCTGGTCCCTGTGACCCTAGCGGTCCTTTCGGTCATTTTCTGCTTTAAGTAATGCTAACCATTTCAAACCACTTCTTACTTGCGGGAGTTTAGCATGGGCTGAAACGTCATCATTACCCAACGATTCCGCGCGGCCTCGGTTGTCCAAGAAAAACGGAAATTTTCTGCCATAGTGACTGCATATTTCAACCGTAAGTACTTTCCTTTATATACGCGCGAGCTACTTTCTCTTCTTATTTCTTTTGCTTTGCTCAGGCATGTTTTTTTTGTTATTTCCGCAAAATTTAGGGTGGTCCATAGGGTGGCTATTAGGTGGGCTAGCCAGGGATTTGTATACACCCACCCATGTGGGGCCAAGCTACGCAAACAAATCTTAGTAAGATCAGCGGTGGATCAGCACCTCATTTAATATTATTTGCTAAAGGAGGGTATATGCCTCTGTAGCCTACTGTATCGATAGTGTACAGTAAGATGAGACCCCCAACTCCAACGAAGCATATTCAAAAACGCTGAAATAACGTACTTCAAGCCCTTTCTTCATCACTCTCACCTGTTCTCCGTGATTATCTAAGTTCAGCTTCTCTTGCTCTCTCACAGACCTATCCAGTAATTCCAATAGCTTCTGGTTATTCTGGTCGATCTTGTACAAGTTCAATTGTTAAGAAATTTAAAAACAACCTGCCAACTTTCTGAACTTGAGGTAAATTATCTAGAGTCTCGCTTGCTTTCCTTGGAGATATAAACCCATAAGTGTACTGCAAAGTACGTACTGTGTAGTAACGACCAAATATTCAATTACGATTGTTCCACTTCACTGCACGTTTACCCCTTACCTTTTTTTTGTGAGAAGGATAGATTGGAAAGGCTTAGAGGTCTGCTTTGTACAAGGCACCTGTTGATGCCGTATTTAGTCTTAAATGCATGTGAGTCTGCACTAGAAATATTTTCAACAGTGAATAGAACAAAAATGAAGAAGGTTTGTGGAGAAATGATCTCTAAATGGACTTTCTTTGTAAACTTCAGAGAAAGATACTTCTAATCCTTTTTCACACCACGTGATGGCTTCGCTGAACAGTTTCAACTGAACGCAGACACTTGCCCCTGTTAAGAAAAAAAGCACAGGCTACAACACATTTAGGCTGTAAAAACTATTCAGATGCAAGTTTTGTGTCAATTGTAGGAATATTGAACAAGATGTATACGGCTATTTAAAAACTTAGAAATTTATAAGAGATATATGGATTGCCGGATGTCTATATATTTTTTAGTAAATTTTGGAGTTTTTTGAATGGCTGTATCCCGTCCAAAAAATGGGTCCGATAAACACCAAACTTGAGAATGTTGCTAACCTCAATGTGCTCGTTCTGACTATGTGGATTTTGTGGTTTATCGCGTTATAAACGGACTCGTACACAACCACTCTCGGTTTGAAATTAGGCAATAAGTAAACCTGGAAAGAATGAGATTGGTGCGCGAAAACACACACAAAAAAACAATTGTCTAATTAACGTAACCCACTCCAGGGCAAGAGACTCTCTATAAGAATTTCGTTGTAAATAAATCCGAAAGGTCCAACATAACAGAGAGAAAACAGATTTGTTGTCATGGTAACTGAAAACATCAATGGGCACTTTCACATCCATCCCAGAAGATTTATCCGTTGAGTAATTCGCGTCAGACAAACAATCTGTTTACCTCGCACAAAAGCTTTTACAAACGATGGTTGTACGTCTATGGCAGTTTTGGCATCATTCAGTGCTTCAGTGTAATTCTCTGAGGAAAAATGAATTACACACCCAAAAACAGACTTCAAATATACACTGTCATATAATTCTTAATTGTTGTACTGTATCTTTTGAACTTTTTGTCACTTAGTAGCAACCTCGTCCCGAGGTCTTTTCCCTTCAAAAAATAGGTGGGGCGGGAAAAGGCCCTGGTATCGGCTGGTCACGTGTACAGCCTAAATATTCCTGAGAAGCTAATGCTCAGTTTTGCGCTGACAGAAGTCGAACGGAGCAACGATGGGAAATAATAACATAGCGAACTATATCAATATTTTCGCGTGTGCGATTCAAAAGCTTAAGATTCATTTAATTGCGTATTATTCAAATGCTACAAGTTTATGAAAGGGCGTACTAGCTGTACGTTGTCACGTACAAAATATGTCAAATGCTTCAGAGTTGAGACAAGCTGTTATCGAGTAGTACTTCGACTGAAATTCATCGTGACTGTGGAATTACATACTGTACGATCAAGCGGAAAGTGATTTTGTCCAATGTCAAACAAAAATGCGGGCCTTTGCCTCCAGGATCTGCTGTGAATTTAAACAAATTGAACTTAATTGAAATAGAATTGTTCATCAAAATGCTTTATGGAGTCTGGTCTTCTCTACAACTCGACCATGAAACAAATAAATCTCCGCGCCGGATGCAAGTCAGCCCTCCAGCCAGGAACGATGACAGGTCGCCGATCTGAAACATTCGAAGACCTCTTATATCTTTTCTCTTCCGAGGATAAGTACAAAGGATTTTCCTTATATTAAAGGGAAGATTGACCGATCGATTGGAATCAACCACAGCTCTGTCAATTTTAAATGGACCCAAGTCTTTCTTTGTTGCCAGTCGTTTGATCGCAGAGGTCAAAGAGTTTTTTAAAAATACAGGTCATAAAAGATAAATCTAAACCAACGCGTGTTGCTACGATATGGCTGAGAGTTAAGGTGAATAGAGCTAGGCTGGGTACGGCGGTCCACTTCGCAAGAAATGAAATAAAATACGAGAAGGGTCGCGAAAACGGACTTTTCCAGTACAAACTTTATGCATGTACAATAGCTTGTTTGTCATTTATATCGTTCTATAAACAGAAGTTTTATGAATGTTATTCGCTGTCCCCTTCATAGAAATCCGAGGAAAGCAAAAAATTACCATAGCCAGTATCTGTGACAAAAAGGAAATCTTGTAAAACTTTTCGTTAAACATAAAGAGATATAAAAGGCCGCCCAAGATCGTGCGCTGTGAGGTTACGCATAATTTTAGCTTTTCACAGAGCGCTAATTTATTACACCCAGGATTTAAAGGTGTACCAGGGGACACGTGACCAGCCGATGCCAGGGCCTTTTCCCGTCCCACCCATTTTTTAAGGGAAAAGCCCAGGGGGCGAGGTTGACTTAGTAGTACTTAATAGACCTTGCATTCCTTAGTATCGTGTACTGTCAGTATTTGTTCTCGCGTTGTGTGCACAGTGGCTGCTCCCAAAATCTTCTGCTATTGGTAAAAAAAATTCATAAAGCCGAAACCAATATTGTGGAATTGCACGCATTTCAGCCTGGGATCCCACTAATTCACCATTTCCATATACGCTATAATGCACCTTGTTTACCTCCCCCCCTCCTCTCCCCAAAAAATAGAAAAGAAAACCTTGCATAACTATTCTCTTCGCTTTTTCTTGGAAAGACTGTAATACCCACGAGAAATTGGAAACAATGGACATTCAAGATTTTAGAGGTAAACAATGTGCATTATGGTCTATGTGAAAAATAGTGAATGAACAGCTACTGCAAGTAGATATTAGGAGAAGCAGTTGTTGTGTAGCCTGTCAACTTTTATTAAGCAGCATTCCACAAAGCGTGAGTAGCAACGGCTGACGCTTTCAGTGATCACTCAAAAATTGTTCTTATA